AATTCACAGTGAGTCTCAAAACATTTCTTTTGTGCTTTTGTTTCTGTCATTTTCCCCATCCATTAGATAGGAGTCTTATTTGACTATATGCCAGGGAAAAGAACATGTACTCCTCAATTCAGATGTCTGTAAACTCCCACTTTATTGTTCTTCTGACTCAGTTTATTTACTTTCACTTGTCTTAGAGCGGTGTCTACAAGTCCCCTGTGTCTGTTTTACTAATGAACTGCAAGTTAGCTGTGCCTCTGCACCTGCCTTGTTACTAATCTGTTATAAATTGAAAACCCAGAAAATGGTGTTACAGGTGCTGTGGGAGGAAAATGCTTCTCTGCTACCTAGGGAGACAGAGATAAAGAGTAATGTTAAGAAAAATAGAGGCAGCTAATGAGAAACAAAGATTTTGAATCAAAAGAATTATGAGACAGATGGGGAAATATTGACCAAGTAAGAAGGTGAATGAGAAAAATTGAGAGAAAAGAAAAAGAATATGGAGATGGAGGATTTGCAATTTCTGTCTACCCTAGATTACCAGTAATCTTAAGGCTGAATTAATCATCTTTGGATAACTTAATTATCCAAACCCACACTAAGCCTGCCATATTGTCTTCCTGTCTTGTTTTCAAATGAGGACAAAGAAATAGGGAGAGGTAGTAGGTATTTAAGTGTTCTTACCAAGGGCATGAAAGCAAGGTCACAGGAAAATTATAATTAGAACTAGCGAGTAACAAATTTCTAATTAAATTGCACCTCACACCCATGCATACATACATACACTCAGTGCCTTGAATACTATACAGTATTGTAAAAATAGTTGGTACTATGTTTCAAACTGACGATCATCCTTCCCAAGGCCTCCCAAATAACTGGGATCACAGGTGCCTGCTAGCATGCCCAGCTTATTATTTGCAATGGGAGTTATACTCACTTTTTGCCCAAGCTGGCTTCAAACTGCAAGTCTCTGGACTCCACCTCCTGAATATCTGTGATTACAGCTGTGAGCTACCAAGCCATTGGGGCCAGACATTTTTGACAGACAGCTGCTAGAAATGCAAATTGGTACAACGTAGTCTGCTAATAGCTAGTAATGAAAAATAAAAGAAAAACATAATATTGATAAGATCAGTAAGTAAGTTAATTGGTGAAATAATATTTTATTTATTCTCTGTACTAGTAAATAAACTCATGGAATAGTGATACTGCTCTATCAATACACTTCTGTAGGAATATTATTTCTTTTACATTTGTTAATCACTTACGGTGTTATGTCTGGTAGAATAATTACTTTCTATATGATACTAATAAGAGATAGAGAAGCTTCTTATCCCACCTTTTTTTAAGCATACTAAATTCCATTCCAACTCACAACCCACCTTGCTTTATTTATACCCAGCCATTCCAAGACTCGAATTCCACTACTGATTACTTTACATCAACCATTTGATATCATTTTATAAAAAATTTCAAGATATGTCTCTAAAAAAAAAGGGACCCTTTTAACATATTTTCAGTTTAAACCAAAGATCATACTTTAAAATTAACATGAATAGCTTATTTTCATTTAATATCCAAGCATTAAAATTTCCTCATTTTTCTCATAAATATTTAACAATTGTTTTTTTGAGCCAGGATCCAAACAAGCGTCCATATGTTACAGTTAGCTCTAAGTTCTAATGAAACTCTGTAAGTTTTGCATCTGTAATTTTTTTCTTGTAATTTGGAACACAAGTCTTTGAACAATTACCTCAATTTTCTAACCAATAATTGTGTTAATGATATGACATTTGTTTTCAAATTAATTAATTTTCTTTTTTAGTAAGAAAATAAACAGTACCTGTGATAATTTGGGTACATCTTACTGAATCAAGTAGATACCAGGTATTTTATTTCCTAAAAAGGAATTACAATGCATTTGCAGTCTCTTTTTGTCAATTTAATACGATGTTTCAAGTTTCAAGGACATTTTCTGATAACTTCTTCCATACTTTCTGAAAATTCAAGTGAAGAGATTACCATGAGTAATCCTTGCTATATTTACAAGTTTAAATATTGAAGTTATTTTTTCATTACTTAAGAAAGCAAAAGAATATTTATGGAAGGTTAGAGATTTTGTATGAGCCTAGGAGATGATGAAAAATAATTTGGATTTGGTGTCACAGTAGTCCTTTAAAGATGGATAGAATTTGGTTTGATAACCACAGGTAGAAAGTATTTCCATAGGACATACAGCAGAGATAAAAGCACAGAAATGTTGAGAAGTACAGGTAATGTTTGAGTAGTGGAAGGAACTCCTCTTGGTTAGAAAATATACTATGTGACAGAGGTAGTAGAACTTAAGGGTACAAATATAAGAACATATACTAAAGATATTTCAATGTTAAAATTTATATTGAATCTTATACTAACCTGCTGCATGTTTTAGGGTATGTTTTATATCTTTGAGCTTTTCTTCCTTTGCCTATAATACCAGGAGACAAGCCTAGATACATTTTGTGGTCCTTTCTGATACAAATGTCCACTTTGGGGAATGAATTAGATAACAATAAAATTTTTGATTTCCTGTAATTCAATGATATTGTGGTAAGTGTGAAAAATTGAGTTCATGTGTGCACCTGGGAATTGAAGAAGAACATAGATGCAGATGTACTTATTGAGGTCCAAACAGCATGAGTAGATACTGATTGCTCAAAAGAAAGGCAAAAGTCAGTTCTTGTCTTGAGGTTTGAAGCCCACATGGGAAAGGGTATCACGATCTTATGAATTACAGTGGATTAAGGGAAGGAACAGGTTAGGACTTGGGGGATAAAAGAAGACAAATGATGCTTCAGTGTGATGAGTTTGAAGATCATTTAAATGGACAAGTCTTTTATACAATTGATACTAATGTCTGGGAGTATTAAGAAGTTAATTCTAAAGGACAGAGTTTTAGCTGAAGTCTTAGTAGGAAATAAATTACTATGAGAAGAAAGGCATAAAAATATTTAAAGAAAGAGAGCATAGCTTTTATGGAAGAAGAAAGTCATACCTTTAAGAGTTGGTAAGAGGAAGACCTAACGAAAGAAAGAAAAAAATGGAGAAGAATGATGGTAGTTCTGACAGAATATGAAAGGGAGGGATTTAACAGATAAAGAGATCAACCTGGTCAAATACAATGGCATTAGAAGACAGGAAAGACTGAAAAAAATGCTGGGCTTCTTCAAGTAACAGGGTTCACAAATGCCAAGGGAAGTAGGGAAGAAATTGAACAAAAATAGAGACGGCAAGTAGAGTATTCTTTCATAATAAATTAGAATACACACCTTGACCATTAAACCATATCAATTTTGGCTAAATTACTTAACATCCCCAGACTGAGTCATTGCTTTTCTCCAGTTGTATAATAGAAATTATAGAAATTCTTTAAAATCATGAAGGAAAATTAATGAAGTAACTTCAATTTCCTGAAAGTACAGTGTTTCATTATCATCTTTACTGCTCATATATATGTTCAAGTTGGAGAATATAAGAAGACACAGTAGTTAAAACTTTAGATGGTTCTCTTACTCTTGGATTGATAAGTTAATTGAGGAAAAAGATTTTTCCCTGTTTGGGTGCTTTTAATTTTTATTTCATTTTTAACATAATATCTCATTGCATTGAAAAAGCTTATTTTTTTTATTATTCACCTACCCTGTGATATTACGGTTATCTAGGTTGTTTGGATACCTGTGACCAGTTGTCTCAGTGCCCCTTGTAGTTTAAATACAAAAAGCATTATATGCAAATAACAGTGTATAACGTTATAAATGTGAAAGTAAAGTGCTCTGTGAATCTGAAAACTCCCGCTGTAGAAGAAGGTATTTGCCTAGAGCCAAGGAGTTTTATAGACCTACATGTTCCCACCACAGACTGGTTCAGAGGAATAAGAATTACTTAGGACACATCATTATCCCAAGCAATCTTTCCCTTGACTAAAATACTCTCTGCTGGGCAGCAAAATAACTGGAGCAATTGCAGCAAGGCTCCCTGTGACCCTTCCCACCCTGATTCAACACCCCTGTATTGTCCTGCTTCCTCCAAGCCTTTGCAGAAAGCACATGCATAGCCTGTGGGTTTATGTTGTCCTGATAATTCACCTGGGGAGAGATTCTCCACACAGACATCCACCCTGACCCCCACAGATGTGTGGACATGCTTGTGTATATTGGGAAGACTATTTCCTCAACTCTTAGCTACTCACATGTCAGCTTAACTTAGTGTATACAGTTGACTTGTATATAAAGTACTACTATCCAAAACCTGTTTTAAATTATGCTTTCTTGTGTTTCTTTGAACAAATATTTTGATTTTTAAAAAATCATTGACAAATGTGATTCCAGAATATTCAGAAGTTATCAGTATTTGTTAAGATTATTTTTCAAGAATTTAAATCCACTTAAATTTCAATTTTTATATAGCTCTTTCTTTAGAAAAAAATCTTTTATTGCTCACTTCCTTAAGAATTTGTCTAGTAATAGAGACCAGCAATAACTTATTAGACACAAACGAAAACTTTGAAGAATTGGCTTTCAGAATGTTTAGTTTAAGAGAGTAAATGGAAGAGTTTACTAAAGAAATTAATGACTCATCTCATACTCTTCCTTTTAACCTTCTTAAGAAAGAGAACTTTCTATAATGTAAATGAAACTTGTTTCCCTAAAGTGTTCAGTCAGTTACAAAGGTGGAAGTTTCATAAGATGAAACAATACTCTGAAAATACTAATTTCACCCAGCTCTAATTTTAAAGTTGATGATACATTTTATAAGAAGACTTGTGCTGGATTAATTCATAGTGCATTCATAATCAAAAGTCACAATATATGTCTTATGTCACCATAATTTTCTGATTAATTTGTTCTTTATACATGTTTTTATGTGTTGTTCCAAGTGCATTTCATTAACTCATAGTGTTCTTGTAAGTTTGTACGTTCTTTCCATGTTTGAAGAATCTCTTTAATTCAATTTCTCTGTTTCTCCTCATACAGTCTGACAGCCAGATATGCACCTCAGTCTAATCTCAGTGGAATTGCAACCAGTCCAAAAAAGCCTACTAGGTCAGTTAACACCTCTAATTTATTGCTTCTTAGTGATATTCAAGTAAATGCCCAGTGGTACTTTGTCCTATCACTCTAAACTTTTAAGACGTGACACACTTCTGAATGAAAAGTTTAGAGCACTGAATTTTGAGCAGATTTCCTTATGGAATCTCAGGAACCAGCATGTGTATGTTAATAATTAAATGAGTTTTGACTGCTTCTATTTCAGTTCAGGTATGCACAGTGGTATACTGGAATGAATTCCAGATTCTAGGTTTAGAGCAAGTCAAGAAAATAGTTACTTTGAAGGTCCCTATGATGTTTTTCCAGGTCACAGAGTCCAAAACATTTGAGATAAGACTGTAACTGCTTTTTTGAGATAAGGATGTGTTTGTTATTGCACATTATAAAGCAGGGTTGAGAGAAACTGGCAGATTTTGATGGGGAAAGTTAGCACCAGGTTAGTACAGACTGTTTTACTATCTATGATCGCTTAAATTTCAGCTTATTGATGACATATGTATTTTAAAGACAAATGTCAATGTATACTATTTATATAATGATACATAAAATGTGTTGGAAGTTTGACTTTTTAATGTTAAATTGATGAAGTCAAGATTGTAGTCTGAAACAGTTGAGTGCAGCCACAGCACAGATGTTTGCTCCTCTGATTCTGATATGATTCTGTGTGGCTTCTCACTTGCTGGAGAGGCATCCAGTGGTAGTGTAGCAATTATTGCTTCATTAATGAATCATACTGTGCAATGCTTGACCACAAGGACTGCTTCTGATGTTTTAGCCCAAGGTAGGTGCTTTTTCCCTTGCCTTGGTTCTCTATGGTCTTTCCCACAGTAATTAAAATGACTCTAAAGAGAATATTTTAAAAGGAATTTAATAAAAGGTTACTACAAATTAGAATGTGTAAAGAACAGTGACCTGCCAAGTACAAAGAGCATTTTTATTGTTCCTCGTAAGACTTGGGCATGTAAGATGTATTTTAAGCACTGCATTTTGATAGAACATTTCTCTATCACATACTCTCTCTTTTCCTTTTTTTCCCTTCATGTCATTTCCCTTTTTATTACTCTGAGGAATGATCTGGAGGCTCTGGCTGCCTGTCAAATTAGGGTAATGAGAAGAGCAAATGTATTCTTTAATTTGTTTTAATTTGTTCTTCTGAGGATTGAAGATCACTGTTTTCATGGGTCACAGTAAAGATTAAAATGCATTTTAATTGCTTTTAAAAAATGGGTCAAGTTTCATTACAAGCAGGGCAAGTTTTGTGACAAAATTTGTTTACACATGTGAGTTTGAAATAAGCTTTGTAAATCTATGGTTATGTCTACAGGAATTGTTCTCAGATTTATTATGATTGGAACATTTGACTCAATTAGTTGAGTTCTTTCTACAGAGTGCAATCACTGGTACTGTAAATTCCTATGTCTGTGGTTATTATGCTGTACTTACAAACCCTTGTAGGTCCATTTGAGCAAAAGTTAAATGCTAGAATCATTTGGAAAAGATTCTAGTCTTCGGTATGACACAACTTTAATTAGCCAAATAGCTAAAGGGAGTATTTGTTAGCCACATGTACTTAAACTCTAAAACACAGTCAAGATTTTGAAGCCATTAACTGTTCTAAGACAGCAACACCTTAAGTTAGTATTTTCATTTTTTCTGATGTCCGTTTCATTTTGCAGTACTCATTTCTATTATAACAGTGTTTATAGTTTCTAAGGGTTTGATTTCTTAAATAGTCTATGGAAATAACAGGAAATATAATTAAGTGTGAGATAAAATTTGACTATGAATTATAAAATTTTGAGAAGTAACAGATATAAACAATCTGTATTTCAAATTTTGTAAAAGGCAGCTGTAAAAATTCAGTACCGTATAGGTTTTGGACTGTTTTATTTGTTTTTCTTTGCAAATAGGAATTTTCAGAGTAGTTCATAGTCATGTTCACATGGGGGCAGCAAATACTAGCAAAAATATTGGCAATATTCAATATCATGTTTTCTTAATGTTAGAATGCCGATATTAGTTCTTAGTTTCTAGTTCTGATTCATGTGAACTGAGTTTATTATGCATACACAGTATCTGATGTTAATATAAAATAAAAATAAGGCACAGTTTGTGAAATAGTCAACAAACTTTCAAAGGGGAAAAACAGTGAAATAAATGATCCAAACTGTTATTTGTTATGGTCCAAATAAAATAACACTAGGTCATCACCTCCTGTCACACTGAACTGCTGTCCCTATGGTTCACTAGGTCATCACCTCCTGTCACACTGAACTGCTATCAGTTGTCCTTCTGCTAGAAATGACTGCCTTCTCCTGAGACCAGTATCCTTTATCTCTCTTCTCTATGGTCATGTGGCCACACTTGCATGTCACCAACTAAATTCTTGCTGCAAAGTTTTGTCAAGAAAATAAATGCTTTCTTGTGAGGTACCCCAAATTATATGGCCTAGGTTCTGGCTCCATGCTTTAATTAACATAGCTAACTAGCTTAGATATTCAATAAATACTATCTGCCATTTGTCCAACAACCTTACTCCTATTGTTACTAATTTACAAGATGTAGGATACAGCTACCTAAGGTAAATAAATACTCCATACATTGGAAAAAAAACTTAATGACATCTTCAAAGAGCAGATTAATATGCTGAGAACCTAAGAAAACTAAATGTTATTCCTTCCCTTCCTTTCATGTAGTCATCACAGTATTTTTAAAGAAAAGTTTTATTCACCAGGAATGGAGGGAATGGAGTTGGTATGACTTTTCAAATAATTCTCACTTTATTTTAATTTTCCTACATTATTCCTATTCTTTGGGGGGTATGCTTGTAGAAAAGCCTCAATCCTTCCCTTAGAGCAGTAACCTTGTGTCTAGCTGTTTGTCACTTAAGCCACTATGTTTTGCTAGCTATATTAGAACATCCAATATTGTGGGTTTCCCATTAATTCTTCCCTGGTCAGAATCCCTTTGTCCTTATTTTTGAAATGTAGGAGACTGATGTAATTGCTCTTATGCTATTTCAGGCTTCCAGGGCCCTCTCGGGTGCCAGCTGCAGGGAGCAGCAGCAAGGCCCAAGGAGCCTCCAATCTAAATAGAAGAAGTCAAAGCTTCAACAGCATTGACAAAAACAAGCCTCCAAATTATGCAAATGGGAATGAAAAAGGTAAGTGTTCACCTGTGACATCATCATGACCCAAACTGAACTTGAGTCTTGTGAATTAACTTAGACAGTTGAATATTTGGGCAATGGAATATTTGGGAATGGAAATGTTACCAGTGGGGTTTCTTTGTGTTTCCTAACTTCCCTCTTGAATTCCAGTTTTCTTCAGGTTCTTTCTTATCTGAAGAACATTTAGAGAAAAAAGCTCATGTATTTTAAAGTGGCTAATTATATACCCAAGTATAAAAATCTGTTTCACAAAAATAGATCCTCCCAGATACATATAAATAGCATTCCTTATGCCTTTCATAGTTTATATTTCATAAAGCTGTATTTCATATAGCTTTGTGATTTACCCTGAGCATCAAAAGTCGAGATATGATTATGGTTGGTATCTATCTATCTTTGAAAGAAGCAATACTAAGAAATATTGTTATCTCAGTTTTCACTCAAATTATTCATATTTTTGTATGAATATAAATATTCTAATATAAATCCCAGATTACAAAATCATTAGGAAGACAGGACAAAGAGTGGAAGCCTACCTTAACCCTAGATTATAAATGATCAATATGCCACATAGATCTGTATGATTTGAAAAGCATGCACTTAAAGAGATATTGGCTTGGTGGGTGTCACTGTGGAGTAGGGAATGATTGGGTGGGTAGGCAATTTATACCTGGGCAATAAAGGGATCAAGAACTGTACTGTTGTAAGTAGTGTGGTTATTGGAGTGCATAGGGTGTTCTGGATTTGGGGGTAGTGTTTTCAAATCAGTAGAACTTTAAACTTCTCTTCATGCAGTACATGGAATGGCACATGAAATTAAGAAGTGGCACATGTGTTTTGTTAGTAGAGCACTTTGCAAATTTGCTCTGAATAATTCAACTAAGTTTGAACTCTTGCACAGGTTAATTACAAATTGTTTCAGTTAGGTAATTAGGCAGCTTTCTTTCATTCAAACATAAATTGATAGGTACGGTCTGTGAACCAAACACTCTTTTGGAAAGTTTTCCTCTTCATCTACACCAAAACCGGGCAGACTGTAAACCCTGAGAGCAGAGCAATGTGTTTTCAACCTTGCAATATCTCCAGCTCCCTAACTGAATTCAAAAACAAACTGAAGTGTATATTTGGAAACTTTGAGCTTCTATTTAAAATATAGAATAATCTCTTTGATTTAAGAACCTGATGAAATGGCTCAAGTGGTAGGGCACCTGAGTTCAAACCCCAGTAGCAACAACAACAAAAAGAATTAAGAACTTAAAACAAAAATCACTGAAGGCTTACACTATTCCTGGGGAGGAAAGAGATAAGTTTCTTATTGAAAAAGCATTTTTCCTCATTTCATGACCTTTTTAAACAGTATCCTAAAGGTTCAAACTAATTCTTCAAGTATATATTATGAAGTTTCTAGGGTAACGGGCTTTAATAGTTAACTAAGGTGTCCATTCAAGCCACATGATATCATAGTTACATATTTTTACAAAAAATACTATAATGTTGCTAGTGCTCGATATCATAATTTTCTGAATTTTTGTGAAATTTAAAAGTCTTTATTTCTAGTCTGTAAAAGTAAAACTGAAAATAAACAGCACTAATTTTTTTCCCATGACTACTCAACCTTTTATGTATGTCTAGGAGGTAGTGTGCAAAATTAAAACACATCATTATTCATAATAGCCACAAGGTGGAGACAGAAATCATATAATATATACTCTGATCACCGAGCAAATTTCTGAGGTACATTTCTGCAACAAAAGGCATGAGTTTTGTGGTGAATTAGACATTACTTTTAATTCTAACAAACTAAAAATTCCAAAACATTTAAAGTGTGTGATTGCACATTCACAGAAATTTGTTATACAGCAAATGTAGGCACTAAACATCTATAAACTGCCAATAATAATTTTAAATTGCATCATCTGATATAATATGACCATCTGGAATTTATTTTGTGTGTAGTATGTCATTTGCTATTAAATGTAGGGTCACTTTATGTCACAAGATCTAATGCCATGGTGTAATTAATCATGTTGAGATAGTTTATATTTCTAACATGATAAATTACAAAAAAAAATCATAATTATTATGTGAAAAATAGTTTATAATTTATTCTGTTTCCAGATGCTACATTTTAAATTAAGTGTTTGATTTGACATTTTTAATAGGAAGATTTATAGTTGTGACATAATATAAAAATTTAAGATTCTGTGTGTTAAGGTAAACATGAAAATAAATTTAAATTTAAGAAAATTACATTCTGTCCATTGATAAGCTGGTCATTGTAACAAAAATATTTCATGTATAAATCTTGGGTTTTTCCAAGAAAGGTGAGAATTAAATAAGAATTTTCAAAGTTTAGAGTATTATAATAAGAGAATTCAGAAAGTATTGCTTGAGTATTCTAATTGTCATTGCTATTCCTCCTTACTTATTAGAAATTGGAATACTTATGTTTAATACATTAAGATATTTTATTTGAAGAATTAACTAAATTATCTAAAATGTGTTCCCTGAACGCTTCTACCAAAAAGCATTCTACATTCATTATCAAGTCTTGTGTGTTACATAAATCAATTCTGGAATCTCTAGAATTTATAAGTAGTAAAAGTTTATTCACTATTAAAACAGTTTCACTTCCCTGTTGAAGAATAATTAACTGTCGAAATCATAGTAACTTGCATTTATACAATTTGTAAGAAAAGAAAAGAATTAGCTTATTTTCAAATAGTGTGACATCTAATGAAAGGAAATCCATAGCAAATCTCAAACTGCATAAAAGATACACTGAATATCATTTCAGTAATAAGGCAATTCTAAAAAAATATGCTCATGTTACTATTTCACCAAATGAATTAAAATATCAGTGCACATTATAATAAATTATTACTTGCAGAGAAGGCTGAAATGGTAATGTTACAATTGAATGCAGTGCCATCTCACAGTTCTATTGAAGTGGAATATGGGAACAAATTTCTCAGAACAAATGGTGAAATGAAGATAGCATCTTTTGTAAAGCTTTTCTTTTGAGAATCCTTCACTTTCTTCTGCTGATGACCTGCCATTCAGAAATTGACAATGCATAATACATTTTGACACCAGCATTTATCAGTTTGCCAATGTACTCTACAAGAGTGCTGTAGTTAGATACAGGCTCTAAAGAAAGCCAAATACCTGTTCACTGGAAATGAGATCTTAGGAAAACCATGCCATGGTTCATTTGGGCATGTACTTTGCATGCGTGAAACAACCTTAAAAAGTTCTTGTTTTACAAAAGCCATATAATAAATATGAAAAATGGCAAAAGGCTTAATATTACTCAGGATACAAATATCCCTAGTTTTATTTCGAGTCCAATTTCTGGATTATTATCTATAAGCATGTGTTGCTTGACAGCGTTCCTTAGAGAAGAGGTGTTTTTCCATGTTGCTAAAATATATGCCAGAGCACTGGAGGGAATGGTACCATCTTTGTACTGTTTCTCCCAAATGATCCTTACTTTGAACCTATACATTTATTGAAAAGGCGGGTTCCTTTCTCTTCCAGTGGACTCTAATCAAGTGCCTTGTGGTGTGGAGGCTTTTACTTTCACTTATACTGAACATGGAATTAGTAGGACTGATGCGAAAGTTTTAGCTCCATTTTAATTCAGTGTTATAAACTATTAAAGTTAATGTGAATTTTGCAATAGTGATGGAATTTCAGCTGCTCACTATCAGCTAAAACATTTAGCTTTTAAGTTCTTTTATAGGTTTTTTAAATTGCTCTGAAATTACCATAAAGAAATGAAATGTTTAATTTGTTTTCCAAGGTAATTCAAATGTGTTTTAGTTATTATATTACTTTACTTATGATTTAATTATGTATTTTACCAAGTCTCTTTACCTTTTTGTATTTATACAACCTTAAAATACAGTGTTAGTATCATAGTTTCAGATTTCTTAGGGATTTTGACAAGTGAACATAACTAGGTTTATCTTAGTTAATATAACTAAGTAGTCTTGGTCATGTAAGGTGTTTGTTTACATATGCACGCATGCATATTTAGGTGTTTGCATATTATGCTTACCTATGTGTAAGTTACATACTTTTTTGAAACTAGCCAGTGAATGGAAACATTCCTTAATTTCACAACCCTCCACAAAGTGGCACTCTGACTTTGTAAATGATACAGGAGAAGCATGGCATGGGCAGAGCAGATACCACCTCCAGGACCCCTACAAGAGCTCTCCATGTTTCTGTCAAGTCATAAAAATGATGACTGGGCATTTCAACATTTATGCAGGGAAGTGAGCTGAGGCACAAAAGGAGCAACAAGGTATATTTAGATTTGAATGCTACTCTTTTCAACGTTTTCAATTTTCAAAAGATATTTTGTAGGTTATTGTGAACCAAATTTATATTTGATATATTGATTATCTACCAGATTATTTGTCATGGCTACAATGCTCACTTGTTTCCTTCCTTCCCCAGTGATCTGTGATTACTCATTGAGTACCTGATGGTGCTATTGTCGTTGTTGTCACTTTGCATATTTCTGAGATGAAAGCTAGTTTCTTCCATCTAAGCAACACACTGTGTTGAAGAAAAAGGTGCAGACTGAAGAAGTTCCGTGTGCCCTTACTCAACCTGATAGCACTTTTGGCAACATGGCACAAAGCCCTAAGGCTAACTGAACTTATGTAAAGTAATGTCCCCTCAAAACTGTCTCTGTGCCTGTTGCAACAACTACCCTTGCCTCAATGTATTAATTTTATAACCAGGTAGGCTTTGTTCCCATGCTATCAATAATATTGATTTTCAAGATGAGATAGCCTGTCATTAACTTTATAAATGTAGACATTTTATAAGCTTGAATATATATATTCTCACACCAACTATGAGGAATATATGTGATTATGCTTTCAGAGATGTCAGAGAATATCTTCTATGATGTTCTCCCCCATTTACATTCTTCTTGGTGAGAAAGGAGGAAAGCATGATCAAAAAAGTTAATCAAT